TCAGTTTGCAGCTATCAGAACTGAATGGATTCATAATTAATTTTAGATTATTTTAATATGTTTGTTTCATTATAGACAGCACTACATCTTTGGCATTTGTTTCTTATATTGTGACAGTACTTTTAAATATTTGTCATATTAACAACATTTTGTTACATGGTAGAAGTAATTTCATTTAACAAGTCATGGTTTTGGAATGAGTAATTTGGTTTATATTCATCAAAACACATACTGGCTATGCTGAGCCAATATTTGCTTGGCAGAAGTAATCAAACATTCAATATACCTGTTATTATTTCAAATACCTACTTGTGCTTATGTCAGTCCCCTGACTTTTGAATACTATTAATGGAAGTACAAATGGCAGGGATTTTCCTCTGCTAAATTACAAGAGGATATTGAAGATACAAGAGATAATCCATGTACCACACTCCTATGCGTATTTACATGGAAGTCCAAATGAATATATGAAGGCTTACACCCAAGGAAGTGGGTATGTATTTTATTTATTTTAAAATGTATTTCCTGAAAAGGGAATGTAAGGCAGCAAGCAAATGGAATAGCAAGATTAGAAAATAACCTATTCCATTACTCATACAAGAGCCTTTTACAAATATGCCTTCTAAAACAATAGTTTCAAGGCTAACAATTTGTTGTTACCAAACTATTTCATAGTGAAGATACAAACATAGGAAAGGTTCTAGATCAGGAGTACACAAACTCTCTGACCCCAAAGACTGTGCTGGACACTGGCAGCAGGGCTGGACACACCTGCATACGCAAACATACACAAATCTGAAACTGCTGGGTTTGTGGGAGAGGTTTTCAAGTTTAAATTTCAGCTTGGTTTGCCTCGTCCAGTTGGCACAACCACCAATCAGTGGTTAAGTGGGATCAGATGAAAGTGAAAGATGTGAGTACCCATCCACATAGTAATGATTTCACAGGAACTGAAAATGTCTGAGGCAAGGGACACAAGCGAAAAAAAAAATGCCTCTGCTCATTTGCTTTATGCTTTAAGGTTTCTGTGTTTGCGTATATTTAAAGCTTTCCAAAGATATCCAATTTGTAAAAAGAATGTATGGACAGGGGAGAGGAAAGTTTATTTCAGGGGGAAAAACTCAGGCAGAAAGATTCGAGGGGGGAGGGGCAAGAGAAGGTGAAGCACATATGGGACAAACTTATTACATTGCATTTATATCCCACTGCTTTTCCTCCTGTAAGAACCCAAGGTAGTTTGCAAAGCTCCATCTTATCCTCACAACAACCCTGTGAGGTAGGTTAGGCTGAGCGTGGGTTAAGTGGAGACTAGAATCCAGATCTTCAGTCCAACACTCTAACCACCACACCACACTGACTCATAACTAATCCAGGGGGGGTCAGATGTAACGGAGATCATCAGGGACTCTAGACCAGTGGTGGCAAACCTATGGCATGTGTGCCACAGCGGGCACGTAGAGCCCTCTCTGTCGGCGTGCAAGCCAAATTGCCCCCCAGCATCGCCCCAGCAGCTGAGCATCAGATAACAGCACACATAGGGGCCATCCGCATGCTCAGAAAGGAGTAGCGGCGCCAGGCAATGATGTCATGAGCCGCGACTCATTAGCCACAACTCGTCCGAACTTTCGCATTGCTGGTCAGTGTGTTGCCAAGGGGAGAGAGAGAGAGAGAGAGAGAGAGAGATTGCTTGTCTGGCTGTGAGTTTTAATACATTCATTTTTATTAACACAAGATTTTAGCTTTGAGTTTTCTTATGAAAAATTGAAATTTAACATCTAAGATTTAGCAAAGAGATATTCTAATTAAGAGACTGAGATTCTTTTAATATTGTGCTGTCCCCCCCAGCATCATATTTAGTTGTTTTTTCTAAACTATAACCTCAGTATCCAGGTTTTATTGCAGTGTTGGCACTTTGCGATAAATAAGTGGGTTTTGGGTTGCAGTTTGGGCAATCAGTCTCTAAAAGGTTCACCATCACTGCTCTAGACAGTGAAGTAGGCAGATGGCCTCCCAGAGATTCAGGGCTACTTGGCCACCCTTAATACCTCCTCTGAAGACAAGGGTTAGAATGGGAACAATTAATAAGAATTTCTCCCCACTTTGGAAAAGACATATAAACTATACAGCTAACAGTGTCCGAATTTCAGTAGTATCCCAAGTCTGTCATCTGAGGCAACTAATTGCCTGGATCACTGTGGCCCACAGTAGAGACAGATTTGAACACCATGTTGCTGCACCAACTAAGTCTCATATTGATAAAATTCAGATACTAATCAGAGAGGTCAAGGTAAGGTGTGGACTATCATACGTAGAAAATGATCTAAGATTACCAGCTAACCAGTTTTGTAAGATTGGCCATGCGGGGGCACAGCTGATGGGCAATTTTCAAGTAGTATATATTCTAACCATGTCACATCCCAAATAACAATGACAATGGATGTTTGTTATTTTAAGAGCTATGTCTTCTTCTTCTTCTTCTAGGCTTTTGGCTGACAGAACCACATTAAAGAAGTTCAATTCTATAAAAGGCAAGATCACATCATAAAAAGGAAAGCTTCTAATTGTATTACACCTTTGGCAGCAACCCCCACAAGTCTAGTTCCTTTTATAAAAGAGAACAAAAATCAAGGAATATCGCTGATTGGTAGCCTAAACTGAATTACCATTAAACGATTTATTAAATAAAAGCATATCATTTAATTAGTACTGCAGATTGTAATAGCAGATTATTGGATATTAAAAAGGAAAGGCACGGAAGAACAACAAGCACAGTAAAGGATTGCAAAGAGTTCAGAAACTTCAGCTTTGTTTTCTTTGGAGGGGTGGGGATGATTAACAGAGAGGAAAAATATTGAGAAACTGAATGGACCAGGACAATATGGGTTTGTTGCAGATTTAAAACAGGAGTCAACACAATGAAAAACTGAATGAGAAAATTCCCACCCTCTTTGAATCTTTACAATTTTTAGTAGCTGCCACAAAATATTGGCAGCTACTGAAGATTAAGCCCAGCATGAAACTTCAGTACATAATCTATCTTCCTTCAAATGTTAAAAGTCACTTCCCAGCTGAGTATGAGTCAAAGAACCTGAACAGCTAGCTCAGTCAAAGAACCTGAACATAGAAGAAGAGATGAAGAAGCAAGGGTTTAGAACTGAATATTTATAAGAAGGCATAACAATATTCAGTTGTTTGGGGGCTGTGATTTGCTTTGGTTGAGAGATCACAGTCTATTAGAATTTGTAATAATCAGGTATTATAAAGTTTGTCAATTAATCATTCTTTTTCAATAAGTAAATGCAATAAACTAATGGGTTCATTTTTAACAGTCTTGTTCTCCATATCAAGATGAGAAACTAATTTCATATGCTCTTATCTTCCCTAGGCCTTCTGTAATATGAACCTGACCAAAGAATGAAATGGAAAATGTTAATAAATAATGATGTTTTGAAACACAAGTTGCTGAATAGCCATCAGATCCTCTCCATTTGCTCTGCTTGAGAAAGGAGATCTTGTGTGTGGGAAACAATAATATCTTGGCAGAATATATGTGTAGTAAATTGTGGGTAGCTGCTTTCTGTGCATCTTTGCCATCTCAATTCTAAACATGCTTCGGTATGTTTTTTTCTTCCAATGGTTTAGGCCTAGATTAAGGCTTGTCTCACTTTTGTGGAGACAAAGCAGAGTTGAATTTAGAAACAAAACACAAATACCCCTTGAACCTGCTTTAGAATCAATGTTGCACTTTGTGGTACTGTGTTTCCAATATACCCATTAAATAATATTTAAATAATACAAATTGCACAATATTTGAAAATAGCCATTGTAACATAAAATATGGTCTATGTTTTCAAATCACCTAACATTACCTTACATGCAGTATATTTCAAGAGAAGCATGTCACTTGTTCACTTGAGAGTTACATAATGATGTCATAGAAGTGATGAGCCATCACATGTCATACTTCTGTGCGGAAACTTATCTTATTTCTTTCCTAGAAGAGAGCTCATTATTTGTGTCAGGAATAATGAATCAAGAAAGTTCAGAGTAAGATTTCTGAGAAGCAGGGCCTGGGCTTTTTTCCTGCTCCAATTCCTATCATTTATGTTCTTTCTCTCCCTCCCTGTCTCTGAGTGCTGGTCCTTATGTATGCCTTATACACAGGCATACGAGGGAGGGGTGGCAAGATTTGCAATAGTGCTAAATGGACTGCTATTTAGGAGTGACCTCCCCCCCTCCCCCCGTTTTGCAAAAGACTAAAGCTAATTGCCTCTATTCGAGAGAACAACCCTAATTTTTGAATATGGTTACTCCTGACACACGAAGTAGTCCAAAGAGCTTCCGTCAATGTCAGCTTATGTTCACACAGAAAGTACGCATCTAAGAATGAACGAACATCCACTGATTAAATTGGTGCCGACCGTTGCCTTGGATGCTTTTGTAACTAGAACTGGAGCGAAGTAGTTACTTATGAAGGATCTCAACCGAACTCCTCTAACACAAATTAACTTCATTCATTTGACTGCACTCTTTTTAGAGGAATGAGGCAGGAGAGGGGATCTGTGCGAAGGATCCACTATGAAGAGGCAACACAGGACGAGAATTATACGTGAGCGTCACTCAGGACACAAGAACCCCTTTAATTCCCCTCTGGTGGCACTTACTACTATTCCCAAATCCCAGGGCTCGCACCTTTCCTTAGATGGACTCCCACTCCACCCAATTATTACGCCGTTCGGTATAAACAACCCCGCCTCCTCAGAATCTTGCAAGCCAATAAAAATACAGCACTGAAGCAAGGGGAACGAGCCCATCATTTCTTTTCCTCTCTTTTCACCCCACCCCTACCGCAAGAAGAGCATTGCTACCCCCGCCGATCCGTTCTTGCTCGGTGAAGAGATTGACGTGCTCCTCCAACCAATGCACTGGCGCTCTTCGGGAGAGCCCGCATCTCTTGCCAATGGCGTGCTCAGAGCGATGGGGTTTGGTTGTGCTGCTGGGCGAAGTTGATATGAGGCGCGTACCTCTGGCAGCAGGAAGGTGGTGACTGTGGAATGTGAACCGCTGCTGCTGCTGGCTCGTTTGGATGGTCGCTGCTGTTGCTGCTTTTGAAACCGCCTGAATTGCTCCAGACTTGGGAACAGACCCTTCCGCTTGGGTTTAGACACACTGATCCATCGCAGTTTGGCTCCTGGAGTTGGGAGCGATCCACTGCTTCCTTCTGGTGCTTCTGCTGGAATGGGCAGCTCTAGCATTGGGTGGTGTGTGTGACAGCAGCTGATCCAGCCTTACTGGGATTAAATGTATGTGGAGCAGGAGGAAGGTAAGAGCAAGAGAAGGCGGCGGCAGAAAGACGTACTAGAGCTCCTTGCTTATTTCACGCTATTTTGTCCCTACCGACAATTATCCTCTGGTGTATTGTGTGCGTCTGCTTTTCTCTAAACTCTCCCCTCCCCACCTCCAGATCACAATTATTTGGGTCTGTGAATTCTGAGTTTGAGGGTGGGTCATGAGTAACAGACCTATTTAAAGAAGAAGGCGAAAGGCGTGCGTGTGAATGAGCGAGATAGGCAGAAACAATGAAGGTGAGGTGTCTCAGGAAAGCGGGGAAAGGCGCTTACCGCTCTGAGAAATCTGCCGAGGGTAAAGGCCCCCTCTCCCGCCTAGGTCTTTTCCCCTCCCTTTCCTCACCGTTGCTCACTCTTTCCGCTGTTGAGAAAGCAAAAACTGAACGCTGCTCTCTTCAAAATCCCAGTCCGGCTTGTGTCGCTGGGGAGAAAGTATTTCATTGCTGCTCATTCTCCTGTGGTTAAAAGAACTGTGCCTTACACGGCGGAGGAAAAGGTTATCCCTCTTCGAAGCAGCTGAAGCTCACAAAAGGCCCTTTACCTTTACCCTAACCCTTTCCCTCTTTCGGTCTCTTGGCTGGAAATACTTCCTTGCTGCACCACCTCCACCCCTGTCGTACTTTCCTATTATGCACAAATTCCCCTAGGAAGAGATGTGGGGGAGGAAACAACTGTTACACCTTTTTGTCATCAGCAGGGAGACAAAGAACTTCTCTCACCTCCCTCTGTGTGTTCTGCTGGCAGTCTCAGCATAGCACTGCTTCCGAGAGATGCTGGAGGATGGCCTGATCTCCTTTAAATAAGAAAGAAAATATTTTGGATGAGGAGGGTGTTTAGAAAAGGGTGGATTGGTTTGTTTCAAGACAGACTCATGTCTTGCATTCTTGAAATTGCTTCAGCATTTTTCTGAGGGTTTAGGAAGAGAAGTGTGTAGTGAGTCCATGAATGCAGTGTGAAAATGTAAGGAATTGCATGTTCTCATTAACATTACTGCATTCAGCACATCAGTCACTACCTCATTCCTGTTTTTCTTTCCAGTGTGAATCTCATCTGAGCCCATGAAGAGGATTGACTACTTCTTAAGGAAACTTCCTTGCAATTGCTTTCTCTTATTGCCATGGTTTATGCTTGTACTCAGCCCTTAACGTGCCATTCACTTAAAATGGGATTTACCCTAGGAAAGGGATATCCAGAACATGCATCCTGAGCATTCTTCCGAATTCTTCATCAGCCATTGTTTTAATTAGGCTTGCACATAGATAATTTAGTGCAAACAAAACTACATTACCTGCCTCAGTCAACTTGAGACATCCTACTCCTGTTGAGCCTATAGGTGCATCAGCTCTTATTCAACATGGCTTCAGTGTGGAAAAGACTGCAACGTGTTGGGAAACATGCATCCAAGTTCCAGTTTGTGGCTTCTTATCAGGAACTGATGGTTGAATGCACCAAGAAATGGTAAGTAGCATCCACTGTTGGAATGAACTGCCGATGCCTGAACATCTCCTCTTCTGCCGATTGTGTCTCCAAATTGGATGAAAGGAAGCTTCAGATCTCCCTTCTTAAATGCTTTGTTTTGTACTGACTCTACCCCTGTGGGATAATTTTTGCTTGTTCACCAGGATTATTGCTATAATGTCATGCCAAGCATTTATTAGATTTGTGCAGTTTTCTTGCAACTCGATAGGTTTTCTTTGTTTTATTGGATGTCTTTTTGATGTTACCACAACAGATTCTTGGTAGCCCCAGTAATCAGATAACTAGCCCATGCCAGAAGGATATGTGGCACCCTTCCCATGACTGACTATGATTTATTTCACTCTGCCTCCTTCTGATTTCTGCTTTTGGCTAAAAATATTTAATTTCCCCTTCAACTCTGCAATGGCAACAGTCAAGATTCAGCCTCGGGAATTATCTCAAGTTATTTGCTTAGTCAGACAAGAATTCCTTGTAGCAGTAACACAATGGGACATAGTTTAAATTGGCTGGTCTGTCTTGGGTAATCAGCTGTATGGGCCTGCCCCAAACACATCTCTTCTGTGTTCCACTTCTCTTCTGCAGAAAAAGCCAGAAATGTATCATATAGCCAAAACAATCTTTTAAAGAATGCAGTCTCTTTGACCAAATGTAACATCTGTGTACTTTATTCTGTTCCACAGTATATCCAGGCCAGGATCAGGGAGAGAGTTGAGGGGAGCAGACAGTTTATGCACATAGCAGCTATAAAAAAAAATAAATTGGCTACTGGGCGGTGGGTTAACTTTTTTCATTTGCCACCCTCAGTCTGGGCCTGAGCATATGTTTAGATGATGAATTCTTGGCATTTACTGGGGAACAGATACTATGGATAGCATGAGGAAAGATCTGTTTTCTAATTGTTGCAGTCAGGGTCACTTCCTATGTGGGGTACTTTATTATATTCAGTTGTTATGTAGTTTGTTCACTTTGCATGCACGATCTTGTTGTAATCCATATAACAACTCTGTGATGTGGCAGCATTATCATCCCCATACTGCAGATAGGACTGTTTGAGCAGGGGGACCACTGAAGCTGCAATCCTGTATGATAAGTCTAGGTAGTAAATGGAGGTTACTTCTGACTAAACTTGTATAGGACTAACAGTACGTTCATGGATGTTGTGAGATTTGAGCAAGGGCCTTCTTGATCTTGGAAATGTTCTGTGAATTGTCATTCAATTGTGCAACCACCCAGAGAGCCTTGGCTATTGAGTCATATAAAAATGAATTAGATAAATAACAAATAAAATGCTTCTTTTCTAAAATTGGAGTGAGAGTTTTGAGTACAGAAAAGTGTACTGTCATGAATACTTAAGGTGAGAAGTTTTTGAGAATCTTCTGCATGATACTTCTCCAATTCATAATACTTCTCCTTGCCACAGATAAATTCAGTGACTTCACTGGAAAGCATTCCTTTCTTGCAATAGGGTTGCCAAGTTGCCTGGCAAGGCTTCTGTCCCTCTAATATATGCCTAACACACCAGAATATAGCAGGTGAACCTGTTATTTATCTTACAGTGGTTAATGGTACTGGAATCATGACAGGAAAAAAAACTTGGTAAGCCAACTCTAGGAATTATATCTTGAAATGTAACATCTTTTAGTACATTAGTTTCAGTCCTATAAATGCTTAAACATGTCATTAAACCCACATGGATGTTATGTTAATTGCTTGTTACAGGTGCAGTGCACTGATACATGTTTTTGATTTTGTGAACCGCCCAGGAAACCTTCTGACTGATGGGCGGTGTAGAAATATTAAAATAAATAAATCAGTTGTTGTAGCCACTCATTGTCTGAAGTTTTGTACAATAATGAGGGCCCATAATTTGATTCTACCATCTCTATTAGCTGTGTGGACAGAATCTCATTACAATTGTCAGAATTACCCAGCAGTGGTAAACCCTGTGTCTTGAAGTGACAGAGCCCTCAGTTCAACCAATGCATTTTAAAGTATATAGAGTAAATGTCTCGAGGTTTTTCTCTAAATTTTTTAAAAAAAGAAAAGTATTGGAATTATCAGAAATAAATATATGTTACATATTAAGTACATATGTAGTCTGATCTGTGCAGCTTTATGTGTGCCTAAGCCTATTGATTTCAAGAGATTTAGGCATGCTTCAACTCTGTAACTGGGCTGCTAACATGAACACACATCTTGAATTTCATCTGCTCTCTGTAAGGAAGAAACAGTCTTAAAATAAAATTGTTCCATTTGCATTAAAGCTTTCCATGTTCAAATGGCAACTTGGGGCAAAGCTGTGAATGACCATATTTTTGACAACAAAGTGCCTTCTTTCTGCCTAATGACTTGATGCTTATTTTCTTAGTGAACAACTTGGATCTTCTAAATTAACTTCTACGCTAGTTGAAGGCATAAAAGTGGTCCAGCCAGATATGAGGAAACTGATTTTCTGTGCTCTCTGCTTTTAGGAGAACAAGACTGCTTTGCATGATGTGGCAAATAAGGATCATGATTGGGAAACACACAGTTGGGCTCATACTGTAACTGTCCTTTTGATTACAAATCTAGTAAACATGTACTCATTTTAATGAACTGGCATTCCAGCATTCAAACAATATAATGCCTTTTTGGAGGAATAATAGGCCATTCATACATTAAAATGGCCAACAAAGAAGTATTAAAATACACTTGGGGAAAAATGGGAAATGAGAAAAGATTGTTCATGAAACAGTGGAGGCTGTGAGGGGCATGGGTTAGATCTGTTCCTTGGAGATCTGTATAGGGTTTTTTTGGTTTTTTTTTTTTTTTTGCCAAAAGTATGAGCTAAACTTACAGAAAACCAACATTGCATTTTATTTGTATTTCTCAATGTTAAAGAATTCCTGTATGTACAGTGTCAATAGGAAGCTACTTTTGCATTTTTTCCGCATATTGAATGGATTAGCACTTGGAAGAGCTTCATCTTTTTTGTATAGCAAAAGACTTTTTCTGTCTGTGTTTTCTATATGAGGTTTCTTTTTTTGGGGGGGGGTTAATGTTTGTCCCTGTTAACTATATATTTTACATTCCCCCAACCAAGTTTATCCTGCCATAATTGTTGTTTTTATTAAAGCTAATGCATATTGTTGCCCCAATTGTTTGTTGAGAGACTCTTAAATCTTGTGTCTGTAGCAGGGGTTGCTCTGCTATTTGAGATCATGATAAAGGATCTACCAACATAAGCCTTTGCTAGCAATAAACATTCCAGCAAATGAATAGCTGATCTATGCCCATGGCTAGTGTCATGAGCTCTGCTGTGCCTTTGAAAATTTGAGGATCTGGCTGGTATTGTCCAGTATATCTGAGTTTATTAACTTGTGAAGAACAGCTGGAGGGCCATCAAACACTTTGGTAAGTATGTTCATCCTGTTACTGCATATGCAAGTCTGTGGAATGGGGATAAGTGATTATTTTAGGAAGAATAAATGCTTCCTGCTCAGTTCTGTTTTCTGGCCATAAGGTCCTCTTAGCTGCTCTGGGCATTTGCTAGAAAGATGGCAAGTAAGCATGTTTTTGGTCAGCTTTTGCTTACAGAGTCTCAGTGCAGGAATTGAGAACTTCAGTTGTTGCTTTTCTTCTGGTGGTAGCAAGCAACTCCCACTGTCTTTACTTTTCTGTAGGCATTTTGCATTCCACCAGGGAATCTCAATGCATAATTTATCTAGGAATTGATAATGAATTCCTGTGTTTCATGATTAAACACAGCTCAATGTATGTGCTGTGTACCTTATGGCTTCCCCTAAAGCACCTAATATAGCTTGCTGTCCTCTGCTGCAGTGGAAGATGATTCTTACTTCAATACTGTTGACAAGACAACAGCTACAAGTCTAGTCTGTTTTGTACATGGAATGGGGAGAGGCACCATCTTTAAATAAATCTTGTCCTTTGCCTCTGGCAGTAAATGCTTGTGCTACAGTTTTGATAATTATTTATATTCTGCCTTTTTCTTTTCAGGGAACTCAGGACTGCTTACATAATTCACTTCCCCCTCTCCTTCCTCCCAATTTTATCTTCAGAACAACATCCTGGGTGGTATGTTGGGCTGAAAGTTTGTGATTGACCCAGAGTCACCCAGTTTGCTCCATGGCTAAATGGGGACTAGAATTCAGTTGTGTACTCTTAACCACTCCATCACACTTGCTCTCAGAGGATAATTTGAGATGCTTGTAATATGCATCAGAGGTGTACTACTCACAAAGAAAATTCAAGTGAAATAGTGCAGTGTGTTTGTATTGAAGGACAATCATTCAGAATGCCTATCCTGTCTTCAGTGTTCCCCCTGCCTTACTTTCTTGGTAATTCTGTTGGCTCAAGTAGTGAAGGTTTTATTCTTTATATGTTGCATGCTTGTGACAGTCTGCATTTGGGTTGGGTGAGTCTTCATACCGAAAAGAAAGAGGTGCTAATTTTAAAGCTGTAGTTACTGCCAGTAGATACGGGAAGGATAATGCTGTGGGGAGGGTAACTCCAGTGAGTTGACAGAAATGGAATCATCACCTAGAAGCACCACAACTCCACAGCAGCTTAGTACATGGGGAGACAGGGTGTGGCTACAGCCAAGGACCAATATGACAGATATCGATAAGCAACCTATATGCAATGCAAACTTATATGCCAGTGATTATTATATGCCAGTGTTTATGTGATCTGCCATGTAATTTGCCATGTACATGAGTTCAACTGAGAAGACAACAGACCGTTTTTTCCATGTTTGGAGCTTTGTGGCTCCATGGGAATAAGAAGTTGTATGGATGTATATCTTAAATACCTGCAAAGAGGCTAGCTGCAAGTCAATTTGCTATATCCCATCAGGGCCTACAGTCATGCAGAATGGGCAGCTCTTAGGTCTGTTATGAATAAACCCTCATTACTACAGACTGCTGAACATAGGGGTATTTAATGGTAAAGCTTTGGCTTAAGACTAGCAACTATTAACC